CGGCATCACAGTATGGTAAGGGGCGTAACATTTCCGTCACACGCTTGAGGTATTCGGCCAATCACCACGCACTGGATAGCCGGCCAATCAGAGCACACCTCGCTTTTCAGACCGATGAGCTTTGTAAAAATCGACGCGTTTCAGAAAGGCGGGGCATAGAGGAGAAACAATAATGTACAGTATGTGGAAAATAATGTGTTTTTTGAACCTTAAACCGCATAAACACATTTCATTACACCAAATACACAAAATAATGTTCTTTTTAGCAATATCATATGACCCCTTTAAATAAAGGCTCTTTCTATGAATAGGCGTTTGAATCATTGGTTCACATGATTCGTTCAAAACGGGATTCCTTCAGAAACTAAACACAGCTGTGTTGCTAGGAGACGCACAAAAGTTCTAGGTAATATTTTCGTTGGCAAAATTGAGCAAAAACACAAAATATTGTGTTTAAAATATAACACAATATTAACTTCTTATTTTCTGACCTGTTGTATAAAATCACATTTGCACTCGTGCTATTCGGACAAACAGCACTCGTGTGATATTGCTTATAATGTGATATAAATATGAGACAAAAACTCATACGGGGCATTTTTTGGCCCAATATTTTGAATTTTAGGGTATAAGTGCATTTATGAAGATGTTGCCCTGCATCATATTTGTCAACAGTCAACATATGAAATGTAAGATGACGTACAGGTCTGGGGGCGGGGCCAGCGCGTTAACTGCGTTAAAATATTTTAATCGCGTTATTTTTCATAACTAATTAACTAATTTAACTAACGAGTTAAACTGACAGCCCTAATAATAATCATTCAGTACCATGGTATTCTCAGCTGATGCCATCACTGCACCATGGTACTGCCACATTTATATTTATTTCTAAACTATCCAGTCAGTTTAATGGATCAAAACAAAAGTCAGTGAGTACCTTAAACACCATTTTTTCAGCTACTCCGGGCGGGAAGCCCATGCGGTCCTGCGGGCCGCTGAGAAGGCGGTAGAAGTCCGTCTTTCTATAGAGGAACCCAAAATAAACCTGCAGAAAATTCTGAATGTTTCCAACATGCTGCAGGATCCCTAACAGCGCGTTATCATAAAGCTCAGTCACTTCCACCGGAGAAGACATGGCTGAGCAGCTCAGCGGGAAAAATCTGACTGAAAGCTGTTTAATTTAGATGCTTATTGATGGAAAACAAACGCAAAGCAACAGAGAGCCAACAGAAAACTTGGGCAACAGCACTGCAACAACAGATCTTTCGAGACTGAGCAGCTGCTACGACACTTCCTGTTCACTCAGTACAAAATAAAAGTCTGGCCAATAATAAATCACTTGAAAAACTTTTTTATTTTTATTTTATTTTATTACATACACATATTTACAATATATCATACATTGAATCTAATATTTATATTATAATTATTTATATTAAAATATTTGACACGGCATAAAATGTAATTCCAGTGCGGCAGGTGGCAGTAATGCGCTCTTGACTGCCTTGTGCAAAAACATGGCGACGTCCTTGGTTAGACAGACAAAATTGTTGTCGGTAAGATTTAATTCGTTTTTTTTTTTTTTGCTATTCTAACTAATAACACATTTCTAATCGAGAGGATCTTCCATATCTTATGTAACTGACGCAGAAGCGGTCTGATAGACAGATAGGCTACTGGCACTGAATGTAGTGTGGGATGGAAAGCACGATTTAGATTGAATAAGTAGTAAATATTATTTATCAAATATTCTCTGTTTTCGTAGATTGTGAGCAGCCAGTTAAATCCTGCGGCATGTTTCAGGAACATTCACTGTACTGCAGCTTGTTTGAAGGTATGTGATCAAACTCCATCAGTTTACAATGTGACATTTGTGTATCTTGTTTATCCAAGCACATTTAATTTATTCCATCTTCTATTTTTTTAGTTAAGTGGGGTACATGTGGTTAAACAAAATGAAAAAAGTACAAAAACATTTACATACAACATGTATACAAACAATACATTTTACAGCTTGGTATTATATTAAATTATTTTACTATTTTTGTACTGTTGAACTTCTAAACTTAAAACAAAGCCTTACTTGTCCCATATTTACATTTATGTATACTAAAATTAGCAAATAGAAGTATCAGACTAATGAAATAATATTCCTTATAAGACATGTCATAAGCAAAAAATGCCTAAAACAATTTCAAAACTCCAGAATAAATGAAAGAACATTTCTACATGTAAAGCACAAAATGTACAAGAAATATCAATATTAGTGAAATCTATTGAATTTTATTTGTGATTTAGGATCTATAAAGTAGTTGTCAAATTTTATTCCACATCGGACCATCAACAGTCGTTTAAAAATGTCAAAGTAGTAGCCAAAATCCATTTGAAACAAAGCCTGGACACATGGAATATTATATGAGGGAAGGACAGAGACTAGAATCAGTATTTTCAGAAGCATTTTTAACCCAGAGGATCGGTCTCCTCTCTAACAGAACCGTGCAGCTCGTATTCGAGAGGGTAAAGGAGACAAGTCAGTGACTTATGAGCAGGCGTATCACCCTCATCACATCGGCCACAGGAAGGGCTGGCTCTCACAGCACACCAGTAAGTCACATCCCCACTCTTTAACCTCTTGGATTCCCAGCATTACTGAAGCTATGTGGGATGGTAATAAAGACCTTGTTGGTTCATTTAGCTGTAGTATCTGTAAGTGCATAAATAAGACTCTTTTCTACATCCCGCAGGTAATCTTCAGGGTGAAGATGGAGCGGCGGAGCGTGTAGTGGAGGACGTCTTCATCAGACGCTTCATGTACGGCACGTTTCACGGCTGTTTAGCGGATGAGGTGGTGATCAAACGCAGAGGAAACCTCCTGGTCATCTGTGCTGTGATGATACAGAAACTCTTACCGTCGAAATTCTACTTTCTCATTGGTTACACAGAGGAACTGCTCTCCCATTTCTACAAATGTCCAGTTAAAATTGAGATGCAGACGGTAGAAGAAAAAGTAGTCTACAAATATCTTTAAGGCAATGTGTTGTGGGGAAAAGCATAAATCATTTCTCTATTTATTTGAATGCTTTACACTGTCCAGCAAGTGTCAATTAAGTTTTTTTTATTTTTTATTTGGGAAATCATTAGTAAAAATATTCTCATGATAGTAACGTGAAAGGGTCTTATACTGTGTTTATTTGTAAAGATCAAAATATTTCTTTATTACTTCATGCCAGGGTTGGAAATTAATAGGGGTTTGGTGCAAAAATTCCCCCAAAAAATGCATAGTTATACGAACTAAAAAGCCACATTTTAAGATTTAATACAATTTCGTTAATGCATTGTTTTGTTTTTTTGTTTTTTTTGCAGCGTTTAGCATTGCAACCAAATCGCACGTTTCTGTCGAGCGTATGAATGCAGTGGCCAATCAGAGGCGTTTAGATTAGTTACCAGTAATGAAGAAAATGCCAAATTGATTAAATTAATTGAATAAATATAAGTATTTAACATAAAAGACAACACAAATACATGAGATAATTCCTTTTACAAAAGGTAAAAAAAATGGCCCTTAAAATAAAAATATTGCCCCTTAATGGAAAAATAAATGAATGACCCTGCAGCTTTTGTTGTTGTTGTTGTTTTTTCGTCACTAAAAAAAGCAGTGAATTATGTATTTTGCATTTTTATTTTCAATTTATTTTATTATGTACTTTATAAATTGACTTAACAAGGATTAAAATCACTTTGATTCTTTAATTCAGTCAGCAATAAATATTACTTTATATTAAGAATATTATGCATATTCCATAAAGTTCATCATACAGAGTTTCTTAATTTAATCAGTCTTTTAATCAGAACCATACATTAAAATAAATATTAAAAACATTAAGAAGGAAAACTATTTGCATCAATTGGACGCTGCAAAGTAAGTCTTATTTTTTTTTCCATAAATTTATTGATTATTCAAAATTATTCAACATTTGTATCATACAAAAGGCACAAACACTGCTTTAGTGCAAAAAGGCACAATCATATTTTAGGTTAAAATCAAAGTTGGCAAAATTCCCTTAAATATCAGACCTTTCCCTTTATCATTTTAAAATAACAACATCAGAACAGGATTTCCACTGTGGCACATGAGCGTTTTCAATTATGGATACATATAAGGTTTAATTCACAGTATCAATAAATCAAAATAAAACAACCATGCATAAAGGTCAAACAGAAAAAAAAACCTCTTAAAATGCAAAAGATGAATGTTTTGATGGTAGTATATTTAACCAAACAAATGCTGAAAAAAAAAGAAAAAAAACAAAATTGCAGTAGGAAGTAAGCCAAGGCTGACGACGAGTAATCCTCCAGTTGAACTGGTTCAAGCCCTTAGAAACTGTGTTCATGTAGCTGTATGACAGCATTTGAACTAGAATCACATTGTAGATACATTCCCATTTAAAGGGATAGTTCACCCAAAAATGAAAATTCTGTCATTAATTACTCACCCTCGTGTTGTTCCAAACCCGCAAGACCTTCGTTCATCTTCGGAACACAATTTAAGATATTTTTGATGAAATATGAGGAATCTCTGACCCTCCCATAGACAGCAAGGTAACTACCACGTTCAAGGTCCAGAAAAGTTCCAAGATGATCGACAAAGTAGTCTGTGTGACATCAGTGTTTCAACTAAAGTTACGAAGCTACGAGAATACTTTTTTTGCGCAAAGAAAACAAAAATAACGACTTTATTCCACATTTTCGTCTCTACCTTTGGATCAAAGTGGCACACGCTCGTGTCATGATACTGTCGTGAACGTGCGTCCAAAGTGACACAGTAGAGACGAAAATGTGGAATAAAGTCGTTATTTTTGTTTTCTTTGTGTAAAAAAGTATTCTCGTAGCTTTGTAACTTTACAGTTGAACCACTGATGTCACACGGACTACTTTGTCGATCATCTTGGTACTTTTCTGGACCTTGAACGTGGTAGTTACCTTGCTGTCTATGGGAGGAATATTTCATAAAAAATATCTTAATTTGTGTTCCGAAGATGAACGAAGGTCTTGCGGGTTTGGAACAACATGAGGGTGAGTAATTAATGACAGAATTTTCATTTTTGGGTGAACTAACCCTTTAAAGGAGGGAAGTGCATGTGACTTCCCAGATCAGAATTAAAGGGAGAGTTCATTTCTGTAAATATTTACTCATCCGAACCCGTATGACTTTCTTTCTTGCACCAAATGCAAATTGTATGGTAAAAAGAAGAAAGTAAGGGTTGAGTAAATACTGACAGGACATGAACTGTCTCAGGAGAGATTTGTGAAATACGACTTCACATTACCCAACTTGGCAACGCTGCTAGAGATGGGCTTTCAGAGCAGGGCTGGGGTCCGGCCCTCCCTCTGCCGCAGTTTTATTTGATGTTTCGACAGCTGTCACCCGTGCAGGACTGCAGCTTGATCAGCCTTTGGTTCATGATCTGCAGAAGCGTAGGATCGACCTTCTTCACGATGTTCTCCAGCTGATGGGGATCTGACGTCAGGTTGTACACCTCTACAAACGACTGCAGGAGATCACAGGGGAAATTCAGCTTAAAGTTGGGTCCACAACGGCCCACCTGTTCTGACATGTGCTCACCTCGTTGTCTGCGAACTCGCAGTACTGCAGGTTTGCATCCTTCAGAGCTCTGACGCAGGCGTACGTGTTGTTGAAGGCGTCTTCGCATACGCAGTCTGGGAAGCACTCCTAGAAGAAAGAGAAAACGTCACTTGGTATTAAAAGAAATCAGGAGAGGTTGATGGGAAAATGCATCATGCCATAAAAGAACCATTTTTGCTTCTACAAAGAACAATAGTGTGAAGAACATTTTTTTCCACTATAAAGGATCTTTTGTGCAATAGCAAAGTTCCATTGATTTTAAAGGTTGTTCATGGAACCAATAAAGAAGCTTTGTTTTTAAGAGTGTAGTATGTGATTCCTGAAGCACTTACAGCTAGTCCAGGGCCGAGTTTAGGGCAGCTGGGATCTTCAGAGGAATGTCCCTCACCGGTGTACTCAACCAGGAAGAAGGGCCGTTCGGTGCCGTTACGCAACGATGGTGCCTACATGAGAACGTTAAACACTGAGAAGACTTTCGTTCATTGTGACATTATTAGACAATCCTCATTGTGAGAATTCTCATTCATGGAACTTTAATTATTCTCAGTAATGGAATGCAAAAAAAAAGCTATGAGATTGGTATTGCTCGGATACAATTTTTCTTAAAAATGAGCATAAACATTAGATGCAGAAAATATGACTATAAT